CAGCCGGCGATTCTTAGTACACTTCAGCTAGTTGGGCAGCGGGTATTGAATAGGTTATGAAGAACAGTTCGACTAGTTGTAGCGTACGATTCAGCGGCCGTTGCAGCTAGTTTCAACCAAAAGTAGCCGCAGCTAGCGATTTACTGGGCGCTGCAGCTAGTCGGACAGCGGGTATCGAATAGATTATGGAGAACAGTTTGACTAGTTGCAGCGCCCAATAAATCGCTAGCTACACCTACTTGCACACTGTTTTATACTGGAAAAATTTCTTACCCGCTGCAGCTAGTATTGAAGCGGGGTAGCGGGTTTGTCCCGCTGCAATTAGCTGCACCCGCTAAATTTTACTCTTTTAGGTAGCTGCAGTCAATGGAGAAGCGGGCGCTTCATCAGCAAGTGCAGCTAGCTTATTTCGTATGAAATTTCATGCTTGGGTATGAAACAGAGAAGCAGAACACCAGATAACCCAGTATCTCGATTATTCAGATTTGAATATTGTGGAAGTATGGTCTTTCTTTCTTATGGAGCAGACAATCAGATAATATCTATATATCGCTCAGCAATAGAAAAGACGGTGACTGCAGTGTGAGAGTCAGGTCGAAAAGTAGTTTCACATCATAGATATATCATTTTTCAATGAAATCTTTTTTAGTGAAACTCCGATTTCTGTCTGTTTTCCTTTCTTCAATCTATCCACTACATGAACTTAAACAATTCCTCTATTTACTTTTACGTCATCTTTCCAATTTTAATTCCACGTCGACACTTTTATTTGAATCAGGCTCTATCCATCCATGATCTACTGCAGGTTACGTAAAAGGTTTTGTTTCTTTCACGTACACGATAAAGTAAATAAATCATATGATAACTCCTAAACAGTTCATCAGAGTGCTTTAATAGCAGTAGAGCGCTTAGAATAATGGCTGCATACACAATATAGTAGATAGTCCTCGCTTGTGTGATCTCGCTTTCTCTCCAGCAAGAAAGCATGTTTTTTTCTATTATATATCATATTGAAGTTGATGAAGTTTTGTACAAAGTGGCATGTATTATTTACGATACCTTGATCAGTCGGTTCAGCCTCTGTAATTTTAGGTTGATAGCAGTCTTGGTACGACTCTCAAGACTAGTATCAGGTGACTTCGGATGATCTCTAAAATGGAAACATATGTTATTGAACATTCTGAATCTTGTGAGAGTATTTCTTTCCAGGAAAAGGTGCGTAAACTATCTGAAACTGGGTTCTGAGGAAAACGCATCAGTTTAGGTATAACTGTGCAACAGTAAATACTCATATTTCGCTCAAAACTCAACTAAATCATTCCTCCTCCTACTTTAATAGCTATCGGACGTACTTTTTTCTTCCTATTCTTTTCTCATTTAGCTGAAGAAGCGCCCGCTTCTCCATTGACTGCAGCTAGCTAAAAGAGTAAAATTTAGCGGGTGCAGCTATACCCGATGCTCAACTAGCTGCAGCACTCAATTTAGCGGCCGCTGCAACTAGTTTTCGTTAAAGCTAGCTGTAACGGCCGCCAAATCGGGCGCTGCAACTAGTCAAACTGTTCTCAGTCGAGATTCATCTGCTGAAGTTACTTGCTATTGGCAGCTGTTATTGGCAGATAACTTCTTACAAACTGTGCAATTTCGTTCTTTTCATTTCTTTTACATCTTTGATTTATAAAACAATCATTTGTTGACTCGATACGCTTCAATTGCACTCATTTGTAACTAGTAACCAATCAAGTTA